CAAAAATAAGAGTTGTGCCCCAAAGCAGACCAACATTCCCTGTTGCAGACATGCTCCTCCCTCAAAAAAATTATGCTTAGGATATAGGCTCCAAGATGGAACATCTGTGCCAGAGCCAAACCAGAAACTACTGAGTATTAGAGCCACACAACACACTTTATTCTAGAAAGAAAAGAACCTAAGTACTTCCCAACCCTGCATGCCTTGCTGTGCTCATACAACTATTTGCAAGGCTGTCCTGCTCCCCAGCACTGTGCTTTAGCTGAGTCAAAGCCTACAAGCCCAAAATAACCCCACAAAGTGCTACACACATATAGGAGATGAGAGCCAAGGTGGCATGTGGACAATCTTCTGGCAGTTTTTCCACTAATGAAAAGGGACTGAGTAATGACCTTATGGATGGGTCCATGCTGGAATCCCAAGCAAGGGTACTGTGTCGCTGGCTTGGCTTGGCCCCCGTTTTCCACAGAAGGCTCCTTGCCTGTCACAGCCCTTTCAGCAGGGATTTATCAATTGATATAATACCTTGGGCCAATCTGGACACTTGGGAAGGACAAGAAGTAAAGCAAGCAGCTCATGGAAAAAAAAATCACTCTCTCCTGGAGCTGGTGCTAATAAAAGCCAATAGATGCAAAAGGTTCAGCGAGGTTTTATTGCTCTGCCATGGCAGGGGCTGGGAAGGCAGCAGGATTCACCCCTAACCACCTGGACTGGCCGCTGTCCCTTCCCCACATGGTCCCTTCTCGGCCCGGAGGCCGGCAGGCGTCACATGTTGGCTCTCTCCCGCTGCAGCCGAGAATTGTAGGCTCGCGAAACTGTGTTCCAGGAGTCCATGTACCGGTCCATGCACATGGCGATGCACTTCTGCGGGACACAGAGCCTCAGCAGCAGCCCCGAGCTAAGGGGCCGCGGGTGCCCAGTTCTCCCGCCCGTCCTCACCTGCTCGGAGTTGTCCAGGGCGCCGCCGGGCTTCCCGATGCACTTCCGAAAGCACTTGTCCGTCATCCGCTGCGGAGAGAGGCCGTGAGTGGCAGCGCGGTCCGGGGGCTCCGGCTACAGCCGCCGCCCCTGCTGCGAGGGGAGCGGGGCGGCCTGGCCGTTCCCCGCGACCCGCACCGGGACCGAGCCAGCCCCGCCCGGCCCCGCCGCTCCTCCTGACCTGCAAGAGTTCCTGTGCGTTGGCCACGGCGATCTGCACCTTCACCTGCTCCATGATGAGCCCCGGGTCCAGCTTCCCCCCGCCGCCTCCTCCGGAGCCGAAATCGGAGCCGAAGCCGCTCTCCATTGCCAGAGTCACCGCGGCCGAGCCCCTGCGCTGCCGGAGGGAGAAATGGCGGCGCCCGGACTGCGGTTCCCGGCGGGCCCCGCGCCTCCTCCGCCTCTGCGCCGGGCGGGACTGCGCGCTCCGCCCGCCCCAGTGGGGCCGCTCCGCGCCGGCTCCAGCCCGGGGCCGCCCGTCCCGCCGCCACTCGCGGCCCGTGGCCCCGAACGCTGGTGTCACCGCCAGCGAGCTCCCAGGGGACTCCCCGGGGCCGAGCCGGGCCCGGCTCAGACACCAGGGTTCGAGTACCAGGGTTCAGCGCAGCGCCACGAACGAGGGCAACGGGAAGGGGCTTTAAAGCGGCATCACCGGAGACACAAACGCTGCCCAGCCGCACCCCGTGGTGACCACCAGCTCTGCTGAGATCCCCGCAGAGAGAAGCTCCGCTTTGGGTTCTCTCTGGAATTCATCCTTCTGTTCTTCGAGGCTTTCCTCTGCCTTACGTGACTCGGGTGAGAGGTCCATGCCCTTAAAGTCAGCTTCATTACACTTCCCTCCATTAAGTAAGAATGCTGCGGGACGAAGTAGAAGCGAATGGGAGAAGACCACGCTACGGAGCTCTTTTTTTTTGGGGGAGATGTGATGTGCAGGTAGGAGATGGCACGAGAGGAGGGCACTGAGTAACACAGCAGAGCTGAAGCCAAAACTGTGCTCATCTTCACTAGCCTGAGCCCACAATCAGAGTATTGCAAACGATATCATCCTGTCTTTGGATCTGCCCACTTCAAACAGAAGGCATTCCTACCACCCTGCAAGAAGCATCATTAGCTAGTGCTAACGATGGGGCAGCCACCTAAGGTACAAGTTTAAATTGAAATTAGTTTAAGGTACAAGTTTAAAATTAATTTAAAATGCAATTTTTAGATGCATTTGCCAGCCTGGCTCAGCTTCCAGCCCAGTTTCAAGTCCATACTCGAAAGTGGGCTGGAAGCTGAGCCAGGCTGGCAAATGCATCACCTCGTGGCAATGCTTCTGTCTATCCCTAAGAATCCATCCCTGCCAGGGATCAGTTTCTGCTCTCATTCTTATTTAGCATCAAGTAGGTTAAATCGAAAAATCTCTTCAGTGCCGCGGTGATGAGAAAGCAAGGGAAGGTTTATCTGCTCTAGCTCCAGCTATTCTTCCCCCTGCTTTTGTTGGTACTGATCAGAGAGGACAGCAGGTTCCACCAGCATTCCGTCACGTTTAAGGAAAGCGGTTTGTTGACACACCCCACGATCCCTGCAGAAACACAATTCAGCTGATCACTGCTAGGAGCGCAGACAGCAGCTCTTTGTGTCCTCTCTCCACACTTAAAGGCCTCCTTGGATGAATCATCTCAAATAGCCCACATTACCTGTGTGTTGAGTAATAGACAGAGGGAAACCAATAAAATGCAAAACATTTATTTGAGTGTGTTGTACAAAAAGTTTCCAGTCATAAAATGTATATTACAAATCATTGAAAAAGACAAGACATTTGGCATGCATATTCTAAAAAGAAAAAAACAAACCACTTTGAAATGATAAAGTCTAGGTCGTGATGTAGTTTTTCTAAGTTTCAAGTGAACCCTTTCATTGTTTTGTCTTTGTGTTTCTGTTAACAGCCTTTTTCATAATTCCCTATTTAAAAAACTTCAACCTTCCAAAAACTTGTCTGCAGCAGCTGACTGGAGGTGGTTAATGCAGTGCCCTCAAGCCAGACCTGTCTAAATCAAAATTTTGTTTAAAAATTTTAAAAATAAAAATCACAATTCAAGTCACCAGGCATCACTGCTATGAAAATAAGAGATCAACTGTATTTTGTGCCCAAATGGAAAGCATTTTGGCTTAAACTTGCTCAAAATAGATTATTGCTTGTAATTTTAGTGTAATGATCTGGGTATCTGAATATATAGTAACATCTGCCTTACCAAGATGGACTTGTCACTTCAGTAATAGCTAACAATAAATCTGGAAGTTCAATAAACAATATCTTTTCTGGAACTCCAAGTCAATTCACTACTTGTGCTATTCTGAATGGAGGCTTTTGCATCTTTTTCACTCTAGACCTTAGCATTTCAAGAAAAGAATTACGTTTACAAATAATAATTGCATGTAAATATGATCTTGTATAAAAAAAAACAACAAACACCTTTAAATAATTTTAAACTGGTTTAAAGCTAAGCATATTGAAGGGCAAATAAAAATTCTGTTTCCCAGGCCAATATAATGAGAAAACAATCTCTCCAATATAATTTGTCCCGACATTCAGCTAAAACAGTGCTTTGAAAAATGCAATCACTACCTCACCTTCCGCTCACTGGTTCACAAGGCTTTGCTCACACAGAGTTTGGACCCAACAGTGTCAGTAAAATGCAGGATCAAATATGGATATGCCTTTGTTTAGAGGTAAGACTTTCAAAAGAAGATACAGAAAGAAAAGATAGAATGGTTTAACAGTGAAGACATGAGAGAAGGGCTACAAGAGATCTAGAACATACAGCATGCATGTTTTCCTGCAGCATCAAAACCTTTCTGATGCGCATAAAGGTAACAGATTCTACAAGGTCCTGGGGTGTAGAGAGGATTTTTACAGGTCTCTTCTAACCTGCAACCTCTGTTAAGGTTGCAGTTAAAGGACCTTTATACAGGATGAGCATAAAAAAGAAAAAGGGTGTATAAAACCTAGTAACATCCCTGAACTGAACATGAAGTGTCCCATTGAGAGAGCACACAGTGATCTCCTTTCACATTGCAGTACAATTCCCACACTACTGCCAGCTTGCACACTCAGCTGGCTTTTACATCACAGGAAGCAGATATTTATATTCTTCCTGAGACTTTTGGTTCCTGCTGCAAACACAGACTATGCAGCCAACTGCCCATCTAATGGTAACATGGAGCTGAAGGTAAGTGAGCAACATCTCAGTGCAAATGATGGGTTCTGTCAGAGCCAACTGGAGCCCCATGTAAGCATAAGGAGATCTGCTGGGAAATAGAGCTGTGAAGGAACAAAGGGAACAGGAAATACACCTGTGTGGCAGCAAAGGAATCACAGGAAATATGGATGTGCAGGAACAAGGGAATCCCAGCCACTCCACTCCTTGCAGTATGTCACTGCAATGCAACAGTTAAAGGAACAAATGCAGAAGCAAGGGAGAAAAAAATGGCATGAAATGCCAGGGACTCTGAGGCCACAATTCACTCCAGAAGGTACCACATTCCCTGACAGGTCTGCAAATAGAGGGACTTGTTTTGAGACAAGCATTTTCACGTGGCATGAGCTTAGGAGGAGGCAGGATGTGCTTATTGTATTTTATATGATATTCTGTTATGAGCTACACATAAGAAAAACTATTTACTATTTCATTCAGAATAAGATTATATTTCTGGATTAAGAGCATCCATATTGATAGTTATGCTTAAGTAACTACTCTGATAAAAGCTTCATTTCCCTCATCAGAGATACCTTAAAATCATTTGACAAGTCAAATCTATTTCTCCTTCAAGCTTTATGCCAGGTACCAGCACTGAAGTAGAACTGCTGTCCACCCTTCTAATTTTGTCAAGACTGATTCATATACAGGATCAAAGAGAAAAAGGCGGCAAGGAGACACTGGATTTTATATGAACAAAAAACTTTTAAATATCCAGAAAATGGAAAGAAATCTTGGAAAGACAGAAAAAAAAAAAAGAAACAATGCTTTTTGGGTTGGTAAAGCCACAAAACTGCCTCCCAGTCTGGCTGGAACAGCGCTGTTAAGACTGAAGCTCAGCATCAGAAGCAAGAGGCTGGGATGGTGTCTGGAGAAGGGAACACAAAAAACAAAGTACATGGAATACAGTAGTTCTTGTGTGACTTGTAATTTACAGCCAGGAGTTATTTATCATATTTGCAGTAGCCTATTAAAAAGCACTCTAGTAACAGAATCATCCACATTCAGACTTGGCTTTTCCCACAGTATCTATCACAGGTTTATGTGACCTGTATATACCTAAGCATGCTCCTAAAGAATCAAATAAACTGTTTCCACAGTTAATGGATACAGTTCCAATTCTAAGGACATATTCTGCAGACTGTTACTCAAGGGCACAGTGCTCATTACAAGAAATCTGCAATCACCAGTTCTTAAGGCTACAAGAAGACATATTCCTCATACAGTAGCTGCTAGGAAAACTATGGCTCAGGTAGCAAGAGGTTTTTCTTCATTTGAGCTGCCTTTCTGAGGCCATTCTTTACAGGAAACAAACAAACCCAAAACCACAGAAAAAAAATGTAAATTAACTACACATTCATTACTTTAGTATTTAAGATCACAAAATAATCTTAAATTTACAGGACAATCTTAAAGGAATAAGCAGTCTGAAAACTGGCCCATGTAAAAAAAAATAAATACAGATCTTTAGGAAAAAAGCAAAAAAGCCCTCAAATGCTATGTCAGTATCTTATAGAAGCTGTGGGTCAGAAAAGGGAAATGGTGTCCAGTGGTTGGAAGGTGTGTTGCAAAAATAACTCTACATTGATTGCATTCATTTGCATAACAATGAATTTAGAAATGGTAATTGTAACAGTATGTCTGAGAAACATAATTTCACTAGATATATCTTACAGAGAGAGAGACATGATTTACTACATATTTAACCTTCTACACAAGCAGAGTGGGAAAATTACATCAGAAAGATGGCCAAGTACATCAATTCAGTTATCCCATCAGTCCAAACAGCCAAATCTTTATCCTGTTTTTTTGTAATGGGTCTTCTCATAATGGATTAAAACATAATTCTAAATGTCTATTAGCTTAACTTCAGCAACTCAGTTATCCCACTCAAGGAAAGAAAAGTAGCATCTTGATTTTTAAATGACAAAATAAATCCTGAAGCTTAAAGCCCCTTTAGTTCCCACCCTGCTTGCATAACAAAGCCATCAATCCGAGCCACTAAACTGACTTTCTAGGTTATATCTGTCAGTCAGGATACTGTTCAGAGAACATAATGTCCAAAAGCCACCGAAAACATCCAAACCTTGTCACTTGTCTGATGAGTTTTAACATTTTGAATGACAAGATCAGAGTTCAAGAGTGCAGGTAACAACAGGATTCTATGCTGAAATCAAATGGTGTCCAAATTTTTTATCCAAATTACTAAGTTTGTTTTTCAACTAGTAGTTGAAAAAACATTTGCATTCTTTGGAGCAGTCAAGTATTTTTCCTCGTGCTTAAAGATAAGAGTTATCTCCAGAGAAATGCAGCAGCAGAAATGGACCTAAATGGACACTATCAGGTAAAAAATGCATCCTCAAACTAAAAATCATCTGCTACCCATACAACGCATTTTTTATAAAAAACATTATTCTCCCTTCACTCCTTGTTAGACTTGAGCACTTGAATGCTGCGTTGCTTACATCCTTAACAGAGGCAGTTCCTTTGAACTGTTTAAAAGTCATTCAACTATTTCTGCTCTATTTTGCAAATATTGCTCCTTAGGATACCTGACAATGCCCCTTTGAACCTAACAGAAGTAGGAACAAGCTATATCTAGCTCTGATTAAAAAGGTCAACATTTACATTGGATAACCTTTAAAATCCCCAATATTTATCACTGCCAAAAGTATAAATATGTTTTACTTCTAAAATCTTAATCAAATATTTTTAAAGCTGAATATGTTGAAAGGATTAAATTATAAATACTGAATATCACAATTTGTGTCCATGATTTAACTTGTGACAATGGCAAAATTCCCTAATAATCAAACAGTTCAACCTCTGGGTTTGACACTTCCAGCTTAGGATGGTGTGTATATTCAGGAAGCAGAACTCACCATTCAACTTCTGAAATGATGACATGGAGCTCAGGTGTGACAGACCCAGATGTTTTACCATTAGGCTGTCAAACCTTGGAGAAAGACACAATGGCAAGGTCCTGAGTCAAAAATGCCTAAAATGAAGTTTCCCCCGTCACTGCAATTGTGGGGCAGCACTTTGAATGAATCTATGGTGTAGTTTTCCTAAGCTGGGAATTGCTGAGGATACCAGGCAAAATACTAGCTTTTCTACAACTGTTGAGGAAACACTCTGTGAATCTCTCCCAGGGCCCTGTAAATGAATACACTTCATTAAACTTTTTTTTCGGGAGTATTATACTGATTATATATGTAATTATAGATTTACCGTACACTCAAGGAGTCTCATCTCATTTTAGCTAAAATCTCTTTTCTGCTTTAGGTTTTTATGTAAGACTTTAAATTCTGTATGGGGAAAAATATTGTATAGTGTTTCAACAAAGAGGGAAAAATAAAGAAATCTATTAAAAATCCTGGCAATTTTGTTCAGTAAAGTTTTTTTGAAATTTTTTTATAAAAATGTACCAAGGAGTAAACGTCAAAGAAATCAGGTGATGCATATAAAAATAGTTTTCAGTGGCTCTGGAAGGAAAAAATAGCAAAAATAAAAGGAAATAAATGAAGAGGGAAAAGCGTAAATAATAGTTCCTTTCTTCTTTCTTCACATCACTGAGCATCCTCTAGAGGTTGTTCTGGGATCACCCTAAAAAAGGATAGACAGAGTTGAATTCAGTTCTTACCAGCTATTCAGACTGTAAGCCTAGACTCTGGTTATCATCTCAGTTGCCAAAAGCATTTTTTAGTAGTTTAGTTACATTAAGGGAACATCAGTACATAAGAGGAAGTAAAGTACATGCCCCAGTCTGCTGCCAGGACTGACACACTGCTCATCTGGTTGTGGTTTCCTGCAATGGGTTAACATATTTCCAACAGTGATACAGATGACAAATGAAAGTTGTGATGTCATTAGCTCGAGACCAGCAAGTTCCTGTATTTCAAATGCTGATTTTGTTTGAGAGCGATCTCTGCTATATAGCTTCTTTTTTGGGTAAGAAAAATCAGTTGTTTTATACTACAAATACACTGCTAAATCTTTGGGACCAAAAAAGCTTTGAGAACTCACCTGCAAACCTGCACAGAATGGGTTATTTGTGAAAAGACCTACTAATGCCCATTGATCAGAAGAACAAATCCCTTAGGTTTCAAATTTAAAATATTTTCTGGCATTACCTATATATCCTTCTCCTTTTTTTGTTCTGTCAACTCCTGGTCGTTTATTTCACATTATTAAGCTGAAGGTTATCAAAACATACAGGTGGTATTATTAAGAAAAACCAAGTTTATTTCAGGTGTAGAAGCTATATAGTGTCAGAAAATAAACCAATAAGCTGAAGCTTGCAGCAAGAGAAACATCCCCATTCCTGGTTTTCAGTGGTTATCTGGTAATATCCTGCTTCCAGCAAGAATGCCCCAGCTCTGTTGCACAGAGCAGCAGATACTGGGAGGAACACTGCCTGCTAATGCTCAAACTGTGTGAAGCACAGATACCCTAAGCTGGCATCAGCCACTGCCTGAGCTGTACGAGGATGGATCCCAGCAGTAATTCCTGGCAGCACTGCTCACATTGTCCTCTCTTGGTGCACTGCAATGTTGCAAGCAACCATCGGAAGAAAGGAAGAAAGGACCGGGAAGCTCAGAGTTGGCAAAAGTTGAAGGGGAATCCCCCCACTAAATCTTATGCTGGATTGATCCAACTAATGAGGCACAAGTTAAACATCTGGTCTGCATCTGATTACCTGTTGGTTGAAAAGGTCTTCCTCTCCATATTCTGCTTCGTCCTCTTCCTCTTCATTCTCTCGCACAACTACTGATTTAGTAACGCTTCTCACTGCAACTTCCTATGCAAAATGACAGAGAAGGAGATGGCCAGGAGTCTTTATCTATCTGTTAAGTTTTTGCCATATCATCAATATAATATCCTTATTAAATTTTCGAGAGTTTAAAGCAACTTGGCCTAGACTTAACCACTAGCTATCCAAGCAAATACCAGCAATATCCTGCAAACCACATCATTCCTATTTCTGTGCACTAAAAGGCATGGTAATGTAATTCAGCCACTTGATTTTTTTTTCATTACTCTGGGATTTAAGAGGAAGTAGACATGTTGCAGGCGATTGTAGTCAATTTTACCCAAGGTCACAGCAGAAACAGGTAGGAGCTGTCTGAGATACAGTGTAAGGTGAGAAACCAAACTTTCTCAGTGTGATTACACAACATAAAGAATATTCCCAGTTTCTAATAAATATTCAGTGTTAATTGCATATGTTGGTTTTCAGCATAGTTCTACAAGCCAGGCACTAAAGAAAATTCTAAAACCCCAGGAAGCTTCCTTTATTACTAAATTATTTTTAACACTTATAAATAGTAAGAAATTCTTCTGCCTACTTGCACCATGGAAACCACAGATGAAAATCTGTAATTGTGGAAAAAGTTGCCCTTAACATACACTCCTAAGCAGGGATATTAAAGGTAACCATAGTGAAAACAGACATGGATTTGAAATTTTTTCAGATACTAGTTTGACCACACAGATTGAATATGGAGAGCATTAGCTTTCTGTTTGTACAAATTACCCCCCTCCTACCTCATCCTGTCCACCAAATTCTTCCAGAAAACTGCCAGCAAGAAAGGCAACACAAAAACTGATACAACTGTCGTCTGTTTCCTTTTCCTACTGCTATCAGATTGCTGGGATAATGGTTATGAGTAATAGCCAAGGCACAATTCTCCCTTGCAAAAGTCATCTGCAGAGACGGTTTTAAAAAAATTAACTGTAGGCAGGTGTAAGACAATGCAGAATGCTAAGGAACGTCTGCCAAATGAGAACTTATAATATGCTTCTAACATGGAAAGGACAATTATCTTCCCACATTAATATTTACATTGCACATTAAAACATCATAGGGACTATATAATGGAACTGTGAATTGGCAGAAATGCTTCTTTTCTTTGTCTCTTCTGAAGTACATACTCAAATTCCAAACAAATTCTCTACTAGCAGGGTATTCTTCTAAAATAGGAAAAAAGTGTCTATGGGTATAATCCTGATGGTCAGTTTTCAAAAACATCCCCAAAATGTCAGATATGTACATAAATAATATGTAATTATGTCAGTGTTATAAACTGTCATATTAAAAGACAACAGCGGAGATCTTAGAATCAGGATTTTGTCATTGTGTCATGTCACCCCACTCTGAAATTAAGAGTTTGGGAGATAACCCAACCCATGGACACAGCCCACCTCTCCTTCAGAGTTGACGAGGTAAGTGCGGATATTTCCACCAGTGCCCCAGCTGCCTTGATTCTTCCACACGAGAACAGAAGGGGGGCTGTGAGATACACCTGCATCTGCACCCCAGATCTAGAGAGAATGACAATCTGTAATTAGCTGTTTATCCAATTATTTTCTTTTAAATATACATATCCCCCTAATTCTCCTACTTCTCTCTACATACTAGGCTTCTTTTCTGAATTCTGATGGCAGTTTTACCCTACTTTTAACTACACTATTACTTGTAATAAGGTATTAAAAAAATCTAATGTTGCAGTCATGAATTCTTTTCTGAACAAATTTCTCCTACCACTGTCTCAATAACCATACTGTATGGAGCCAAGGCAAAAAGCAGCATGTAGTGCATCAACTTAAATCTTTTATATGTATCTGAACAATTGATACTTAATTAGAAATAGCTGCAAGTGATTAAAAGATACATTTGTTTCTTCCTAAAAGAACATCTGTTGCAGACTGAAAATAAAATGCAAAATTATTGAAAAGCAGCTGTTCTACAGCATTAACTACAGTTAATGCTGAGAATGTCCAGTCTTAACTACAGTCTGGATGAATGATCTGAACTGTTCCCAATTCTTTAAGAGGTTGAGCAGGATTAGGGTTCTAAACCTGGGCTAAGGTGTTTGGAAACAAATAGCTCTTGACTAATCTCCCAAAATACCTTTTTCTTCAACTTTCTATGTGCCCAAAGAAATGGTCATAAATACTGAAGTACTAATATTGAAACAAATTTTTTGTTTTGCATTTTTATAACTGAAATCCTGCTCCTCTAGAGTGAGACCCATGAAACCAATTCAGGCTGTACCAGACTTCAAGATTTCCAATTGCCACAGTATGAACAGAAGAGTATGTTGTTGACATACTGTAAATACGACTTACTGTAACAGTCTGCCCAGCTCTGAGGACATACTTAGGAGTAAATTTGTAAGCAATTTCATCTCCATCTCCAATTTGTCTTTTCAGTCTCCAGTTACCCAAAGACTGATCCTAATGGAGAGAGTCAGAAAGTTATTCAGAGTGAACAAAACAGAACAAACAGGCATCAGAATCTAGGTCTTTGTTATTAAAATAATGGGAATATAAATTTATTTATATGGTTGTTAGGCATTTGCATTCTACCTTGAAAGTATTTGCCCACATCCAGTCAGAGTCTAAAGTGTAAATCCCATAAGGTCATTCAGTAAAATATTAAAAGATAATCATTTCACACAACAAAGTTCTGCTAGACAGCAGGCTGTTTCTGTGAGCAATGTCCCAGCACACATTTGGGACACAGATTGTATTCTCTTCCTGCTGCATGTTAGCCCACCATTATGTTCAACTTTTCAAAGCCCCCATTAATTCCTGCAGGATGCTGCACCTTGAGATGCTGCTCCCGCTCTCCACATGGCCGCACCTACTCATGCTGCAAAGGGCTGTGGATCATAATTTAGCTCCTGCTTGTTTTCTGTGAGTTCTGCTGATGCTCACCTTCTCTGAGTTGTTCTTAAGCTGAACATACTTGCCCTCCAGGTCTATCTCTTCTATGCTGATACTTCCTGTAGCTGAAGCTTGCTGGGACATTTGAAAGCTACTGCTACTGCTGCTGCCACTGATACTCCCAGTGCCGATCCCACTAGTTCCACTGCCAGAGAGCTCCTCTGCTTCAATACGTTTTCTCTTGCCTCGGGAAGAGCGAACAAGTGAAGTGCTGCTGCTGCTGCTGCTGGAGGTAGCCCGAGAGACTGTGACACGGGAGGAGGGACTTGGAGAGAGCTTCAACCTTAACACAACCAAGAAAGCATCTTAATTAACTCACCCAGAGAACCACACAAAGCTACAATATCCTCAAGTAACCAGACCGTAATATGTTCCAAGGCTGACAGTATTCTCATTCTGTATGTCAAGAGGACTGCGATACTGAGGACTGTTGATTTCGCAGATACATGAGGAAGAGGGGGCTACCCATCCCTGAGGAATGTTCTGGCAGTATGACCATATGACATGGAAAGCAGTGCTACTGACAGCAACAGTGATCCCTTAATCCCTCCCTCCAGTACAGCTACTACTGAACACACTATTCTTGGGCCCCATGATTTCAAACCATAGAAGTACAAGCATTTAAGTAAAAAGATGATATGAAGACCAAGCACAGAATGATATATTTCACTGTACTCCAAGACCATTACAAAAACCCAAAATAAGGACAGTGTTCAATTGAGAACAAGTGTTCCATGCAACAACATTGTGGTGTGAAGCCAATATAATTTCAGTGAAATGTAATCTGTGCATTCCTATTCAAGTGGTAAAAAAATAAGGGCAAGAAATGAAAATAACACTTGAGAGTCCTTAGAAAAGAAAGTGGAATCTTTACACACCTTTCCTCTTCTCCTTCCAGGAGTTTTCGGTAAGCACTGATCTCCATGTCCAGTGCTAATTTAACATCAAGCAGCTCTTGGTACTCCGTAAGCTGAAGCTGCATCTGGTCCCTCATGTCTGTCATTTCCCTCTCCTTTGCATCCAGCATCTTCCTAAACTTCTCCCGCTCGCCAGCCATCATTTCCTCCAGTTCCCGAATGCGATCTTCTGCTGCACTGGCCTAGGCACACAGAACAAGAAAAAGCCCACCTGGCATCCATGCAGGTCCACTCAAAAAGTTAAAACCCTTCTCCCTCCCAAATTAACCTAACAAAGATTTCTCTGTGCAAAATTCAGAAAATACGAAGGGTCAGAAATGCTAATAATATTCACACAAAACAGCTGTGTATTTGAGATAAAAGCCAATTTAGGCCCTTTACCTGTTTCTGAAGACCAGAAAGCTGGTAGCTGAGAGCTTCTATCCTCATGCGAGCCTCCTTCAGCTCCTCTCGAGCTGCACCAGCAGCTTTGTCATTTTGGTCAGAGGACAATTTGGCATTCTCCAGCTGGAAAGAAAGTTTTATACAGCTCACTTGTGCTGAGTTAGAAATCCTGAAATATCCTTTTGGTAAAAAAAGTAGCAACTATTTAAATTTAGAAAATTTTAAATGGTCTGGTAAGTTTAGGATAGGAACTGCATAACATTAAGGAATGCCCTAAGAACCGAAGGAAAACGTATTTCAAAATTTGCTTATGCTGTTAAAAAAACACTCTATTAGCCCTTCTATTATACAAGCAACCTTAGTTTCTAAAGAACTGACCATGTGCTCTGCTTGTTTGTCCTAAGGCAAATCACACTGGGTGACAGCAAAGGCTGCCTACCTAATTCATGTCCTGGTCCAGCAGTTCCCTGGACGCCCAGAGACCAACTCAATGAAATATTTCAGGGGTATTATGTCTCTGCTGGCTATAGGCAACTCAGGGACTTCCTCAGTCAGGGACAGTATTTTACTGCTTACTATCTCTCAGTGGATTTCTCAGGCAGGAATTTGTCTCTGCTTTTTGAATTTTTGGGGCAATGAGTTTAGCTCTATATTAAAGAACAATACTTTCTGTTTCTTCTCTATCTGGACATTCTCACTGGACATTCACTGTCCCTGCTCCTACTGAAAAAAAAAAACAAACACTCCTCATTTACCTTCCCCCATGCTATTTATCCCTTTACAGACATCCACTGTATCTTTCACTTCTCTCAACGTATCTCTTATCCAGGTTAAAATTTTCTCATGCATGACTTGTTTTCCACTCTAAATTGTCTCTGTGAACTCTGTAGTACCTTTGCAAGAAGCAATAAAACTACTCACAGCAGTCCAAATGACATCCTGTCCCAGAGGCAAAACAATGGGTTTGGTTTTATTCTCTTTCTGTAATAGTTGCCAATATATGATTTGGTTTTAATTTTTTGTTAAATTCACCTAGTGAACAGGCTTAATTTCTAGTGGTTAATTTTAACCAAAACAGAGAGAGCAAAACCAGAACTCTTACATGGTAAATTTCATGAAAGCAGAGCTAGAAAAACCATCCTTTGCATGCTTTAGAGCTGGACTTCGACAATTTTGCCACACCATGGAATCCACTCAAAAACTAAACCAATCTAATTCTAAGAACAGTTATAGGCAGATGTTCTTTAGCCACATAGCACAAAGGTTTATAAAATCAATCTTCACTAGCTCTGCTGTTCGCTAGGTTCTGAGCAGCACACACGGAGCCTTCTTTAGGCTACAGATTTTGAAGCAACTTCAACTACACACTCCATTACTTCTTGTAAAGTTTAAAATTAAAAAATATTTGAAGTCTGACAACCATTCACTACCTTACAGTCATGCTGGCATAGTGCCAAGTACTCATACTTAGGATTTCTATTGCTTGTTATCACAGATCATAATGATCTTTCTTAGAAGCCCTTTTTAAGTATTCAAGAGTCACATTCAAATAAGATGTCCCTGGACAGTTCTCTTGTCCAAGCTGAACACCCCAGCACTCTCCATAAGAGGTGCTCCAGTCCTCAGGATCACTTTTGTGGCCTCCTTTGGACTTTCTCCAGCCACTCCACATCTGCCCTGTGCAAGAAGTGTGCTTTTACCCAAGACCATCTCATCCTGGAGCTGCTCAGTAGCTAAACCTAGTGATTTGCTTTGACATCATATTCCTCCCCAGTTCTGGCTCTCTAACAGGGACACGTACTTGTTCAGAAATCACAAAATTAAGTTCACAGCTAAACCCTTTTCCCTCCATATTCCAACTTCATCCATAACAACCACCTTTATGCAGGGAAAAAGCAGCTTAATTTATTCATTCCCCTGTTCAAAGCTTGTCACTTTTTCATTCTCTAAGTCTGTATATTGCATCCTTTTTATTTTTTTTTTCTGCTAAGCATCTTTTATCCTGGATCTCCTTCAGACTGTGGCAAGTCAATCCAAATAGCTCCTTACATGTTCCAGAGCTCTCTGAATAATTTCAACCCTGCCACCTGTGTTGGGGTTTTAGTTTTAATTTTAATTTTGGGGTTTTAGTATCTATTATCTATATGGTTGCTGCCATAAGTAATAGTTAAATATTTGTAGATCAGTATTTCTTAAACCAAATCATCAACTCAAAGAATTCAAAGGGAGTCTCAGCAAAGGGTGCGAGAGAACAATGTTAGCAGCACCATCATTCTTCCAGCACAAGAGAACAAGAAGCGGCTGTAACTATTGACAAGTACTTTCAACAGCCAGAATTGCCAGGATGGGGCTCTGAGCAACCTGGTCTAGTTTAAAGATGTTCCTGTTCAAGGCAGGGGGCTGGACTAGATGGCTTTTAAAGGTCCCTTCTAGCCCAAACCACTCTATGATTCTATGATTTCCAAATTACATACCATGATTTTCATCACCAAAGCTGGTCAAGAAAGGTCTGATATCTTGTCTGAAGTTTCCCTGTCACCAAAGGATTCACAGCTGCATCTAGTAACTTTCCAGTCCAGAACTACCTTAGATCACTGAAATGTTGCAAGGCTTAGAAATATTTAAAAGTGTATTGGCGTGATTAAGAACACTGCAATGGCCACAGTAAGAGCAAAGTGACAATGCACCCTTAGATAAGAAGCCCCTTTCAGTGTGTCTGTATTAGTTTGCAAGCTCACTGTATCCAAGCAAAAGCCCATACTGAGACACACTCACTTCCAAGCTCTCCAATGCCCCCCCTCCAGCTTCTTATGCACAATGTATTGCACATATTGCAAGTTTTCCCAATCCCCTCCATTTGTGAAGAAAAACTGGATCTACTGATGTAAAAAAAGAACCCTTATAGCAAAAGACATTGTCTAATCAGAATAGTGGATGTCTAATCTAGACATCCACTATTCCCACTGTGTTTTCTGCAGAGACCAACAACAGCTCCACATGTTTTCTCACCAACTGACCTCTCTTGGCTAAAGCTATTGCTTGCTATTACCTCTGGCTATAACCCCCCTGGAAATGCACCTGCACACAAGTCCCAGGGAAAGCATTTGAACATTTGGACAAAACTTCCTCAAATTATAGTTACTCATCTCCTTAAGACCAGTAGAGCTGGTAGAAGTGGCTTTTATCTCACAAACTGGGCTTCCAGTCTGACAGTGCTGTGGACAGCAGTTGTTACCTTAGCCTGATATGTCTGCTCCAGCTCCATCTTATACAGTTTGACTTGTTCATCATGTTGATTTCGCAGATCCTCCAGAGCCTGAGTCATTTTGGATTCATACTCCTGTTGGCGGCTTGTGTCCACCTCAATCAAACGATGTTCATGGCGTTTTCTTGTTTCCCTTATTTCCTACATATGCACAAAAGAAGAGGGACAAATTCCCACACTAAGGTAAACAGTACAAGCAGTTACATTCAGACAACAATTAACTACTGCAGTACTAACTAGCATAATGGAGCTACAGTACTACAGGCATTTAAGCCTGGGAATTGCTGTATGCAGTAACAGATTCAAGTTACTGTTCTCATTTGTCAGGATGTAATTTTTAAAAGTGATCCAACTTAACACCAGCTTCAAAAATAGCCATATACTAAGTAAGGGGCTGTTTCACTGCTTTGCTACCTGTCCTTCTCAATATACATCCTGACATTACAATAGCAGTCTACAAGGAATCAGATGAAAATGAACACCACTTGTGAACATTATATATATTAAAAAAAATTATAGAGAAAAACTGCATCTTCAAATTTCACTCTTAAGCACATGTGGGTCTCATCTCTGTTCTAGATACTTGATGACCCTTTCTTATTAGATTTTGATTACAGCATTAATAAAGCAGCAATCCAAGCAATCCTGAAGACATAACTTTTTATGATGAGAGTTTGCACTAAGAAATTTGCATTTTTAGAAATGTGTGAGTTTTCTGTGCTTAAGAACACTGGTTGCAAACTAGTAAGGTAAGGCTTACTCATGCACTTATTCATGCAGAGATCTGGCCAGGTCTGAATGTGTGGTATGAGAAAAACAATTTCTTCCTTCAGGGCAGGACAAACAACCAAGGAGTGGTTCTGAGTACTGGGAGGAGGCCTCAAGTTACAACAGGGCCATGAGGAACAACAGCAAGTGAAACAAGGCTCAGTTTTGCTAGACTGGAGTCATATAAGGCTAACACATACTCAAAGCAACTTTACTAGTTGTTTTGCAGAAATGCTCTGCATCTAAAATAGATCCCCAGAAACATGTCCTTTTACTAGCAGCAATGTGCTCTGAAGTGATATGGAATAAGCTTTTCTTTCTTTGGTTAATTTTTACACCAAGAAAACTAGCAAGCAGCAGTCTCTCAGTAACTGTAGGCAATGACAGCTCAGAAGCTAAAGGAATGTCACAAAGGATCAGGGGAAGGGCTGAGCTGATCCAGCAGTTCAGTTCCGTTCAGTTCAGTTCAGTTCAGTTCCAACACCACTAGAATAAGCAGGCCTCACTTGCCATACTCCCAAACACGATGACTCAATTCTAATGAAGATTTGGACCCTTCAGTAAACCAAATACATTCACTAACGTAAAGGAAATCAATTTATTGCTTCATGTGTTGAACTGGTGCATCCAAGAATCAAAAAGCTTCAGGGATGGCTAAAGAACACGCCCTTGAGCACAGCAAGCTTTAGGATTAGCTTCTGCTGTCTCATTTAGTTTTACCTTCAGTCAATAGCAACACATTCTTCCCAAGAAGAAAAGTTATTTTAAGATCCTACAACCAAACAAGGATCTGTCACTGCAGTCAGTGTACCAATCCAAGCACTCCAGAGCATGGAAGTGAGACAATGGTCAGTACATCTCTGGCTGATCTCCCTGGTTGGTTTCTTTGCCCTGCTCCAGCCCCTGTCCCCTGTCCTTAGCCACACAGCCCCGTCCCATCCCTTAAACCAGTCTGAGCACTCATTTGGATTCTGTGGTAAATCAACTCAGCCACTAAGCAGTCAAAAATTAAACTCAACCAAGAACTTCAGTATGTTTCTAGTTAATCTGGCTGAAATGGTTGGGTGAACAATGAGCCAAGCATCACACCTAGAGTAGGGGAGATGAACAGCAGAAGCATGTGGCGACTGCTCAGCAGCCACTCATTGAATGAGCTTGCAGAATCACCAGAGATGGAATAAACAGACATAACACTTTGCATTGGGTACAGAGAGAAAGTCATGCTTTCCTCTCCCAATTCCCAATATTACAAAAATTTTGGTCTTCACTAGTACTATTCACTTAACAGGCAGAAAGCTACCTCTGCAATAAGCAAGGCAGCTGCATACTATTCTAGTCAATAAGAACAGATTATAATCAGGTCCAGCAACCAAAGTTAATGTAAGTAAAGAGCAGGGCCATGCTACCAGGTCCAGAGAGGGAAAAGGATTTTCCCTTTCCCACAGCAGTCAGCTAGCTCCAGTTCACCTGCCCATGGAACAATACTCTTGTCACTTGGCTGTCATACTGACTCCACCACTGATTTACCATGTAAAAAGGTGTAAAATCTTCACCTATTTTATTATTCAACCCATTTATAGGAAGGATAATACTGATTTTCTCTACCTGGACTACTTAGTAGTTGCTCATAGTCAATTTGATTAAAAGCTACATTAACTTTGGACAGTGGCAAGATTACTAGATTGATAATACCTCTTCAAATACATTCTTCCTGAAATCCAGATCCTCTTGCAAACTCTGGCACCGATTTTCCAGGTCCACACGCATGAGTGTCTCCTTCTCCAACTGCTTCTTTGCCACAGCATGACCATCTTCAGCCTAGTAAAGAATTTTAAAGATAATTTTGTCTGGATTCCTATCTTCCATCCATAAACCTTTTACAGTCTTCATCTGATGTCTTTGGAGCAGTTACTCATAATAACAAAACTAATGTCAAGCCACCGAATAAAGAAAACCAATCCACACCACCACCAGAAAGAAACACAATAAATAAACAAAAGCCCCAGAAAAAAAAAGAACCAGTGTGTGTGTGAGTGTGTGTGTTAACTGACATTTAAACCAAGCTTATATGTTTGCATACCAGCTATTTAAAATGCAGGATTAGTTCAATACATTCTGATACAGGAGCTGAGGATTATTAATTCCTCAAGCACAATATGTTACACTTTCTTTTTCTTGCTAGCATGGTCACACTGGGTACTCCAGCACAAGTGTAAAATTATACAGGACCTTACAAAGGACAACATTTAATGACTCAAGATATAGAAACATCAAAAATTTTAAAACAAAAGCTTCCGACAACCAAAATGTCTAAACACTGTGTTGCTTTGGTTGTTTCACATAGATTTCTTACAATTTAGTTTTGTATCCAAGAAGGGCAGCCAAAGATTCAGCAGTAAACAAGGTGCATCATTGATGTTCAGAATATAAACTAACAGCAAAGAAAAAAAGGAATTTATGCTACACAGCCTGTGCTGTGCTGAAGCAAGAGCATTCCCTACCATACCTTAGCAAGCTGGGCACGCAGATCAGCCACCTCTGCTTCCAGACTGCGTTTCTCATTCAGGACAGTATTGAGTTCTGCCTCACTTCTATGGAAGAGAACTTCCAGATCCTTGATACGACCCTGAGCCACAGACAAATCTGCATCTTTCTTCTTGTAGCTGGAAAAACAAAAGTACATTATACTTATACATGGGTGCACACCCATCCTGAGCATGTCCTGGTTACAGCCACAGGTATTTTGTTACCAGATACCTTTTATCAAGCCCAGCTCACCACTATATGGCTCTTGCAGTACCCTGCAAATGCTGCCGATCATTGACCTGGAACACCCCCAAAATGTGCAGCTGGTACCATGTTCTGCAAATGCATGGCACAGTAAAAAAAATGTCATGGACAGACAAGGGAAAAACAAGAAGGCAACTCTGGCAGCTAAGAGATGGTAATACACACAAGGTATAAACAGTACTTCTTCATCTGGCAGCTACACAGCTGATATCTTTTACTTTAGAGTACAGCCCACAAAGCAAAGTACATGCAATCACCAAAGAGGCCTGAACATCCCCAAGGTTTTATATCTGATGTGGTCAAGCATATTCCTTATGATGTATTCCCACAAAAAGCAGTAAAATAAAATAATCCACTGTAGAAATGTGGTCATCTTTCAGGAATAAACCAGTATTTCTTCAGCAGTATTCATTATGGGCAAAGCATGTCTGAGTGCTTTAAATATCATTACTTGAGCTGTTATATCCAACTTGCAGATATGATCAAGATTATCTTCCTTCTGCCCACTAAGTAATTTTATCAGTCTTTTCATATAACATAGTGACTTTCTGCAGCTTTTCTCAGCATGTATCATTATGTTATTAAAAAACTGATCTGTTATGTGCTATAATCCTTCCTTGTTGCTGCTTAAGCTCGCTGTTCTAGTCTCACACCACCTGGGACGAAGGGAACAGTTTTATTATTTTTTTCTCTTAAGTAACTGCAGACAATTTTTCTCCTTTCCTTTCTTCACACTTCTAATCCATAGTTATGTAGTTTGGACCTGTGGTCCATAAGCTGCTTTAAGGGCCCACAGAAATAAGTTTGAAGAGAATTCCTACTACATATAGGCTTTTAAAAGCTTATAGGCTTTTAAGGGCCCACAGAAATTAAGTTTGAAGAGAATTCCTACTACATATAGGCTTTTAAATTCAATCTGCAACTCCAAACGTGGAAAAAAACTATTATGTTTGCAAAGAGAAAAAAAGAAGCTGAAAACCAGTGTTCTAGATTAATACAAACCTTGCTGCCCAGCCCGGATCCTGAAGCCTGGTTCCCAAAATCCTTATCACTTGTACTGTCTTCTTGAATTTCTGATTTGCCTGAATTGGCCAGAATTACTTAATGAAATTATTGGGTATTGGTGGATCCTACACACAGTGGTTTACCAATGGTTTACATGGTTCAGCACGATGTGCTTCTTTTTCTAAGCTGACATCTTTATTCTGTGATGCATTCAGCTTGTGTTTTCTCTCTGCATTTCATGGTGTGGATCTTAGAATTTGTTTTCATTTAACTGTAACCAATTTTTCTTATCATCAGTCCAATCTGTCACTGTAAATTCTGTTCTGCAACATATGTGCAGTGTCTTCACACTCAGCAGCTTGCTGGAGGCACAGACAAAACATGGCTTGTATTTAAAAGACAGTTATTTAGCAGTAGTCAGAAGGTCACAAGTGCTATGTTACACATGTGCTGTAAAACAAGCCACTGTGCTTGTATCACAACCAATCAGACCTGGGAGCCTTCTGCCTGTACAGGACTCAAAGGGCAAATGCTGCTTCACTCTGATCATGAACAGCAGTATGTGCTCACACAGCCTCCTGCTTCCACCCACCTGCAGAAGCCAGGCAGCAAGAGACTGCTTCCAGGGATAGGAATGAATAAAAGTGTTTGATGTACAGCTTGAACCATAGAGAATTCTTGACAGTGGTAAGTAACTTTGGCCCCCTCAAGGACACTGACAACATAGCAAGCCATTTTAATTTTTATTTTCACTTATAATTTTAGCCTGCTTTATTGCCTTCATGCAAAAACGTGACAGAGGTTTTACAAAGGTACAACTGCTTTTGGGGGTCTCTGAGATTTTAAAAAGTTCCCACCAGCAGTCAATCCACCTGGTGAGATGTGTCAATGCTTCAAGGAACACCGAGTAACTCTCCAAGTAGGGTAACTCTTGAGAGCTCTTTTTTCCCCAGAAAGAGCCAAGTTTGCTCCAGGGAAAGGTTTCAGTGACCACAGAATCACAGCATTGTTTAGGTTGGAAGGGACCTTAAAGCCCATCTCATTCCAACCCTGTCATGCTCCAATCCCTGTCCAACTTGGCCTTGAACACTTCCAGGACGGGGCAGCCACAACTGCTCTGGGTAACCTGTTCCAGGCCTTCACCCCCTAACAGGGAAGAATTTGTTCCTAATATCAAATCTAAACCTACTGTCTCTCAGTCTGAACCATGCCCTGTTGTTCTGTCCCTACTTATAGCTAGGTAGCAGGCAGAAGAAGCCACAGCATGACGTGCACCCCTCTCAGAGCCAGGAGCTCCAGCAGGACTATTTTTTTTTTTGCTATTACAAGCAAAATGATGGCACCTGACAGATACTGACCTTCAGACCTGGCTTGATCTGGGGAAAAGTGACACTGGCAAAGATAGGAACTCACACTTCATGAACAACAGGACAGGAGACTTTCCTCCACCATGCCATCAGTTACCTCTGTTATCAATGAATGGACCTCATTCACTTCACCAGGTCTGGGTCAACAGTCTCGTGGGAGGGTGGTGTTCTACCCAAGCAGAAGTTTTGTGCACCTCACCAGTAAATTAATTATTCCCATCCATACCTCCTCCACTTATCCCCTCCCTCCAGTAGTCAAAAGTTTTGTCAAACAGCTGAAGATGAAAACACAAACACTGGAAGCCATTACACAGCATACAGGATAGAACCATACATGCTACAGAATGAGAATGGCTATTTTTACAACAATATTTTAATTCTAGATTTAAAAATATGTCCTTACACCTGATACAAACATTTTTAAACAAAAATTAAGCTGTTCCTTACATCATATAAATGGTGTTTGAACATCCTAAAGATATTTAACTTTTTATAAAATGAAACTACCTAACTGCTTTATGAACCTAGTTATGAATTTGGTTCAAAAGAAAAGAAATTACATTCATGAGTTGCATTCAAGTACAAATAGTGGATACATATATGTATGGTAGATGTAAAATACACAGAATCCACAGAATGGATGGAAGGGATCATAAATCTCATCTTGTTTCACCCCTCCCATGGATTGGGACACCTTCCATTAGACCGGGTTGGTTCCAAGCCCCATCCAGCTGGGCCTTGAACACTTCCACATGGCTGTGGGCAGCCACAGCTGGTTGGATATTATGTTCTTCCCCCAGAAGGTGCTGGGGCATTGAACAGGCTCCCCAGGGAACGATCACAGCCCCAAGGCTTCTGGAGCTCAATGAGTTTGGACAAGACTCTCAGGCACACAGTGGGATTTTGGGGTGTCTGTGCATGGCCAGGAGTTGATTTGATGGTTTTTGTGGGGTCCATTCCAGCTCAGGATATTCCATGATTCTATGATTGAGTGCCTCACCACCCTCACATGGAAGAATTTCTTTCCAATATTGCATCTAATGCTGCCCCATGTCAGTATGAAGCCATTCACCCTTGTCCTACCACTATTGCCTTGTCCCAGTCCTTCTCCCTCTCTTTGGAGCCCCTTTAGGCATTGGGAAGGGCTCTGAGGCTTCCCTGGAGCCTTCTCTTCTCCAGGTGAACACCCCCAGCTCTCCCACACTGGCTCCAGTGCAGAGGAGCTTCAGCCCTCAAAACACCAGGACATATGGCCTCCTCTGGACTCACTCCAGTAGCTTCACATTATTCTGATGTTGGGTCTCCAGAACAGAACGCAGTACTCTGGGTGGGCTTGAGGGGGCAAATAACCTCCCTTGACCTGCTGGCCACACTTCTTTTGATGCAGTTCAGGGTTTGATCAGCTTTCAGGGCTGCAAGTGCACATTGTTAGCTCAAATTCAGTTTTTCATCCATTGATACTTGTATCTCCTCAGGGCTGCTCTTGATCCATTCTCCACCCAGCCTGTGTCTGTGATGGGAATGACCCAACACATATGCAGAACCTTACACTTGGCCTTGATGAACCTTCATAAGGTTCACACAGGCCTACTTCTCCAGCCTGTTCTCATCTCTTTAGATGGCATCCCTTCCCTTCAATGTATCAACTGCATTACACATGTTTTGGTTGGCTGCTCTTTCTTGTTAGAAGGAAGTGCTTCCTGCCCCATGCCCCCCTCATGCCCAAGTTTCACATTCAGTTTCAGAGTACTCTGGAAGTCTTACTTCCAGAGATGATGAGCTGGTGGCTCCTGAGATAATAGGAGCCAACAGGGAAATACAGTGAAATACTGCCAAGAAATTAAGGGGCATTCATCTAAGAAGATGATACAGCCAACAGTCCAGCTGTTTCTCTATACCAATGCATGCAGGGTGGGCAATTAATTAGAGGAGCTGTAAGTCACTGTGCTGCAGGGAAGCTGCGACCTAGTTGCTGGTAAAACTTGGTGGAACAAATCTCATGACTGGACTTCAACTTTCAACAGCTACAAGCTGTCAAGAATGGATAGGTGAGGAAGGAGGGGTGGAGGGGTTACTCTCCCCAAGAAGTGGATTGAATGTGAAGGGCTGTCTCTAAAAAACTGCCATCAGCATTTTGAAAGCCTATGGGTAAGAATCAGAGACCAAGGCAACAATGGGAACCCTTGTGGTTGGCATCTACTCCTGGCTGACTGATCAACTGGAGCCTTTTTGCTCCAGCTACAGGAGGCATTGCACTCATAGACTCAGCCTGATGTGGGACCTCAACCATCCCAGCATCTGCTGGAAAAGTAGCAGGGTGAGCTGTAGGCAATCGAGGAGGCTGTTGGAGAGGACTGAGGATAGCTTGTCAAGCCAGGTAATAAAAGGCTCTACCAGATGAGATGAGACACTGGACCTGATGGTCATCAACACAAATGAGCCAACCAGTGATGTCAAGACAGGAGGCAGCCTGGGTTGCAGTGATCATGCAGTCCAGGAGT